AATAAAAAATAAAATAAGAAATTAAAATATTTTGAGAGGAAAAAAAATTACACCAAGGATCCTCTAGGATGAAATTTTCCTAAAGTTTCCTAGAATGCTACATTATGTGGTTGAGATTTACTAGCAAGTCACATCAGAAAAATTGATATGACTTGTCAGTAAATCTCAACTACACAATATAACACTCTAGAAAATTTTAAAAAAAAAATCATTCTAGTGGATCCTTGCTCAAAAAATTAACTTTCAAATGGGAGTGGTCTGACAGAAGCTTGGGAGTCGGACAATTAGGGAATTTAAAATTTTAAATCCATTGGAATCTCACGATTTAGCTGAAAGTGCGTTCGTCCTACTCAATGACTAACACCTGGCGTGCCATAGATATGCTAGAAAGAAGGGAACCAAGGAGAGAACAAACAAAGAGACAACCAGCCGATCCTCACTCGCAGCAATCCATGCAGGTACAGAAAAAGCTAAAACAATAATCATAAAATGCAACAATCATGTGCCTTTTTATCATACCGAGAAATCAAACTATTCATGGTACCTTAACACTCAAATCCAAAAAGCAATTCAGAAAAGTTTTACAAATTGTTGGGATTATAATTTCCCCAATACAAACACAAGGGTATTTATATATAATTCAATTAGCAAAAATTTATAAAATTTGACATAAATTTATTTTATATACAAAATATAAAACTGAGACTTTCGTCTCGTTTGAGAACATGTTAATTTAGTAATTTTTTAATTATTTGGTTAAAAAAATAAGTAAAAAAAACTTATATATTTGGAACGATTTTTTGGCTAATTTCGAAAAGATATGCAAAAAATAGAGAGAAAAGAGAATCTTTAATTTTTTGGTATGAGTTATTAGTTTTTTGACTAATTTAGTAACTTTTTGACTAATTGACTAAAAAAGTAAGTCCCCAAACGAGACCTTAAACCAGGTAAAAACTTGATACTACTACCCAAGTATTTTGAAATAACCCTAGTCTTCCCTGCTTAAAATTGACACTTATACCCTCCCCTCCTTGCGATATTTTTTCGTCTCAACCCTCACAATCTCATGTCACTATTATTTAAGTTCTAAATTTATATTTATATGCCAATTCAAGAAATGGTTGTTCCATACACTTATTAACCTATGAAAAATGCTTGGGAGCACTAATTAGTGCTCCCACTAATTAGGTGGCAGTGGGTCCCGCCATTAATGATGTGATGTTTTAGTCTTGGAGTTATATTTTTTTTTTTTACTTTTTTAATGCATTAGTGCTATTAGTGGTGATATTTTTAGTGGGATGAATCATTATTGTTAACCTATATATAATGAAATTTTCGAATTTCATAATTTTAATCTAAATACATGTAAAAAAATTAGTAATAACAACAGTATGACAAAGTGAAACTCATGTGAGGAAAGAGTAAAAAAAACAAGCACATAGCACCAATTAATGGAGCAAATAATTTGAATGTGAAGAAATTGAAGATTTAGACTTTTGGGTAGAGAACTTACCAGAGAGACAAAGATGGGCCGAGAGGAACGAGCTCTGCAACGAACTCAGTGCTTTCCTTTCCCCTTCTGGTCTGATTGTCGGCCGCGTCCATCGCCATAGCAGAGTTGCAAGCGGCCATCAAGCCCAGCTGGGAACTGATGATGATTCTCCACCGGTGCAGCATTTGAAGCCGCGGTCCCGATGAAGAATGGTACATTTGATCCGTCTATGGTAGATAACCTCTGAACATGAGGCAACAGAGACGGTGAATTGGACTGAAGGGTCCCCCTATTGAAACCAGCAAGGCCACCAGAAGAGATGGTGAAGTTGAGATTGTAATCACCACCAACGCCAGCGGTGGAGACTGGGATGAGATGGTCTGGGACGAACGAGAAATGCTGCAGCTCCGGGTGGTGGTGGTGGTGGTGATCGGCCGTGAGACTGAATTGGGAAATCGCCATGGACGGTGGCAGAGAATTCCCCAAGTGAATTTGTCCAGAAAACCCAGATGAGTGAGGGTTTCGGGATGGAGACGAGTTGAGAAGCCCTGAAGTGAAGTAGTCCATCGGAGCTGAAGACCACTGCGGCCGAGTCGATTTCTGGAACAAATTGGCTGCGGATCCATTAGGACTCGCGGTGGTGGTGGCGCTATTAACATTGTTTATGCCACCAGTGAGAAGCTCAGTGAAAGAGCTTTGGGAAATAGGGTTAATATTTTGGGGATGATTAACAGATTCATGACTCTCTTTCTCTTTCTCTTTCCCACTCCCTCCCTGCTTTCCTTTCCCTAGCTCTCTCTCTTGCTTTTATGCGGCTTTCAGACCTCTGCGAGAGAGATAAACCCGAGCCCTTACTCGTCTCCGAAGCACTACTACACGCCGATTTCGACAAAGAAACATGCTGTTGGTGCTGCTGATGATGAAAAGTCTGATCACCACCATCTAATTCCAAATCGGCCGAATCAAACCCTTGTTCAGTACCAGCACTCGACCTCTTTTCATCGCTCAATTGCTGAGGAGTGTCTGGAAATGAAGTATTTATAGAAGGAAGTTCATCAATGGACTTCGCGGCCGCTTTAAGAAGCCACTCTACAGCCTTGCTAGGCTGATCATAACCCAAACGATCTTGAAGATCGTAAAACTGAATAGCGGTGGTGACCGAGAGGCGAACACGGCGATCCCGAAGCCCTTTCGAGGTCCAAACCTTGCTGTGCCGATCTTTCCCACCAGATGCCCTAGAAACCCTAACAATTCGAGACGATGGCCACCCACAAAGCCGCCCAACACCGCCACCGCCAATCTCAATCCCACCGCCGCTGCGGCCGCCGCCACTCCTTTTGATTTCTCCATCTTCTTCATCATCAGGATATTGTTCTTCCCCCTTTTGCCCTATCTTGTTACAATCACCTCTACCGTTACCTATCCTTGGAAACTTGTGTCCCTGAGTTTGAATCTCGTCCACCTCCATACCACTTTCATGCCTTTCTCACATCAAAACTTGAGCTTTTTCTTCTCCTCTTATCCTCCCAGTTTTTAGAGAGAGAAAGAGGGGGCCTATTTGGGATCTAAATTAGGGTTTGGAGGAGAGAGAAAACTTGAAGATGTTGGGGTGTCCTTTGCATTGATGACGATCATACAGTCTACTGTAGCTTTTGTATCAATAATTATATATATATATATATGTATGTATACACGTAGATATATATATATATCTATCTACGAGGGACCCTTTTTCACGCTTCGATATATCACGTTCGTTCGCAGGCCGGTAATAATGTCAGATGAGACTCCATTTAAGCTTTTTACAGTGCTTTCAAAAGCAAAAAAGAAGCCTCTGAATTTGCTCAGATTCAGCCTGTGAAGAGTAAAACAAAAACAAAAAAGTGAAAAAACAAAAATAAAAAAATTAATTGTAAAGTTTTACACTATCACTGGTAAGAAAGTACCATGATCAAGCATGTTTTTGAAGGTACTTAAAAAAGATCTGAAACCTAACATATAGAGCTTATTAAAGTTGATAAAGCTTTAAGAAAAGCTAAATTGAAAAGTTTCTCTCTCTCTCTCTCTCTCTCTCACACACACACACACTTCGATTTGAGCTTTTTTTTTGCTTAAAATTTAAGCTGTATGTTGATGAAAAAAGCTACGAAGCAGTAATTGCGTACTAGTCTCCGATCTGTGACTTCAAGCTTTGTATTTAAAGCTCTTCGCTGACCCTAGAAGTTGCAGACATTACAATATATTTATATGTATATATATAAATATTTTGCTGTGTATGAATTGTTACCAACTGGTTCTTCAATTACACGACAAAATGTAGATCCAAAGCAATCAGATCTGTGTGTTTCAGGTCCTCCTGCAAAAACATTTGCTGAATTAGAAAACAACAAATCAAACAAAAATTTTACACAATCCAAGTGAAATCGTACTTGAACCTTCAATGAATCGAAAACGAATAAAAATTATCAGTACTCTCGATTTTTCAATGAATCGAAAACGAATAAAAAGTATAAGTACTTTTGAAAATCAAAACAACAAAAAGCTTCCAATCTCTCCATTGCAAGAGCTTCAGAGATCGAGAAAAAAAAAACCAGATAATTTTCAGAATTTGAAGCTCAATGAATCGAAGACGGATCGAAGCGGTTTCAAGATGCGGAGACCAAAAAAAGAAGACCTAACCCGAATTTCCTGTACTGTTGTTGCCTCCTCGAGTTTCCGAACTTCGAAGTACTCACTCCCTCTCCCTCTCCCTCTCTCTCTAACTAACAGTTCAAAATTATTTTCAGAAAGAGAGATGCAAATTCAAACTATACCTCTTTCTCTTCTCTCTTTGTACTTTCTTCGTCTGCAAGCATTCCAAACCCTAATTAAACCAAACCGCCATTAATGGACCTTGAATTGAGCTGAATTTGTAGAGCTCAGAGAAAGGTGTGTGTCTCTCTGTAGCTCAGCTTTTTAGAGAGAGAGTGTTGCGTGAAAATCATCAGAATTTTCAAGAATATCCAAAATGAGAGAATGTGTGGAGAGAGAGAGAGAGTGTGTGTGCGCGCGCTCGGGGTTCAATGCTCTAAGCCTATGGCCATTAGAGCAAATCACCGGGCTTATCGGGAAAGGACAGACAATGTGTCCATTTTCACAAATTTGCTCCCTCGTTGTTTATCTATTTACCAAATTAGACTTCTGTTTTAGAGATTTCACCAAAAAATTTTATAATTTCTAAGTACAACATAAATTCAGGATGGGTGGCGTTGTGATTAAGGCTTAAGGTTTAAGTCCCAAGGTCACAAGTTCAATTCTCTCTCCTCTGGCCAATCTCCTAGGCGCTGTCTTAAACTTGCGGGGTAAGAAGAATTTTTCTGTAACAAAAAAAGTATAACATAAAAAAAAGAAAAAAAAAAAAGGAGGTAATTTAAGAAGTTGTTATATATTAGCTAAATTTTTTATCAAACTTTTTTACTCTGTTGTAACTTCTCATTTGGCATGTTGGGTCGAGGTTCGCAGTGGTTTGTGGCAGCAGTAGTGGCAAGTTGTGGCTAAGGATTTGGTTAAGTTTAAAGGATCAAGAAGTTAGGGGTGTTTTTTTACAACAAATGATGAATACTAAGCAAAACTTCATATTTCAAAAATATTAAGTGTGAGTCTTGAGAAAAGATGTGGACAGAGATGGTTTGGTGTATCGAAATAGAAGCTCTCATGTACTTCTCATAAGTCTTTATTGGCCCTATTTGGTAAAGCTGTGAGAAAGTGATTATACCTTATAGTTTAACAGCTTATAACTTATAGCTGTGAACATAAGCTGATTTTTGACTTATAAATTAAGCTTATCATCCCCCACTCAAAGAATAAGTTGATTTTTGACTTACAAAAAGTTATAAGCTGTATTGTTAAGCTGAATCAAATACATCAAAATAGCTTAAATTAAGCTAAAAGCTGAAATAAGCTGGAAATAAGTTCTACCAAACAGGGCCATTGGCTCTATCACTGTTCACATAGGCATGATATTTTTTTAATTATTGAATGAATTTATATAAGATGTGAAGTAAAGATGCAATGATAAATTAACTCTATTTCAGGTTAAAATCATTTTACTTTGAAATTTGAGAATTTTAGATAATTAAAAAATGAGAGATTTTATTTTTCATTTTTTTAATCAGCAAAGAAGTAATATTTTCTTATTGATAATAAGACATTACTTAAAATAAAAAATAAAAAAGAGCAGCATGGAAGAAACACCCGAACAACCAATCTAACCTAAAAGTGGAAAAACACCATAAGCCAAAACAAACCCCTCCAAATCGGAGCACACACAAAAATCACTTGATGAAAGGATCTAATAAACACATAAATCGATCAAAAGGCTAGACATAAACCTCTCATATAAGGTGAATTTATCTTTTTGTGAGGCACAATAGATTGTGTCTGGCTGATCAAAAAAAAAAAAAAAAAAAATGGATTGTGTTCGGTTTTATAATTGATTTCTATGCAAGTAGAAGTATTGTCATTTCATTAGAACTACTCCAATGATCAAAGGTAAAATGGCTTTGCGAAAATCATTTTTCTTTTTCTTTTTCTTTTTTCTTGTTACATTTTGCCAAAAAAAAAAAAAAAAAAAAAAAAAAAAAAAATTGTCATTTTTGTACAACCAAGTTTTGTCACCATTATCCAACTAGTTTTTGTATGCTACATTCTAGATCAACCAAACCCTTTCTCTTTCATTGATTTAGATGAGTATCAAGTTTTTGATTTTCTTATTTTAGATAAATTGTGATTATTGAAATAATTTATCTTTTGCAATTATATGTATAGTATTTTCTAGTTTTTGTAGTCTGTATCTTTTTTTACTATGGCAAATCTTTTGGCTTCTCCATAAAAGTTGTTTTTAGTGCTTGTGAGAGCTGCAAATAAGGCTTCGAGCCTCAATATTGAAAATCACGTCTGAGCTTATGCAACAATACCACCAACCAAAAATTAGTTTGAGGGCAACACTATTCAATGTTAGGTTCAAAAAATTCTCATATACTATTTGGCTAAAAGACTAAAATAAAATAATCTTGAAAATGAAGACAAAAAAAAATTATAAATCTAACATGTAATTGGAAACTTAGCATTCATCTAATTAAGGCTACATTAGATTAGACAATGTCACAAATATATCTTGACCCTTTACATGAATCTCACAAAAATCAATAACCAAAATGTATTTATGACATGTGATAATATCACAAATACATCTTAAGTCTTAATTTTTATGAGATCTACATGGATCTTATAGAAATTAATATTCAAAATGTGTTTATGACATTCTCACATCAGTAACTCCAACAAAGCTGGATAATTGCTCCTATTGATCTCATGTTAATTACCTACCACTTAAGTTGAATTCCCAGACACATCAAAGGTTAATAGTATATGTGGTGAGTATGACAACTTGATAATAAGCAACAAAGGTTGTGAAGGTGTCTCTATCACCACATGGGCTTTAGGAGGATCTAGGTCAAGATTTATAGCAATGGACCTATACTTCTAACCAAATATGGAATGTTTGATTAGTTATGATATGTTTTATAATAAACTATTCTAGATACAATACCAAATTTGATTAGTAGTACAAGCTATTACTGACCACAATAAAAAGAAGAAAATTGCTTTGGAGCACAAGCACTCACAATTATTACAAGAAATGACGCATTTGGCGATCAAAATATTAGTCACTAATAGTCTCGTGTTTGGTCGCCAAAACTCAATAGCGACTAAATTTTTTGGTCGCCAAGTTCATCGTGTATACCCTGTCGGCAATAGTATTGGCAACTAAACTATTTTTGGTCGGTAATGTAAACGTTTAGGCTACTAAACTTCGGTTAGTCGGCAAAGGTTACCTTTTGGCAACTAAAATATTAGTCACTGAAAGTTCTCACATAAAACTGAATTCAACTATTAGAGAGAACTTCTGAAACTTCAGCTTGACAGAACAAAAGAGAATCATCTGCAAATTGCAAGTAAGAAAGGACCACCTGGTTGACTCCAATATTCACCCCTTTTAGTAGGCCCAATTCTCTTGCTCTCTGTAGGAGAATGTTCAATGCTTCTGCCACCAGAATGAATAGAAATGGTGAGAGGGGATCACCTTGCCTAATACCTTTCTAAGGATTAAACTCCTTGGTTGGTGAACCATTGACAAGAATTGAGAGCTTTATAGTAGATACACACTCTTTAATCAAAATATTAGTCACTAATAGCCCGTGTTTGGTCACCAAAACTCAATAGCGACTAAATTTTTTTGTCGCCAAGTTCATCGTGTATACCCTGTCGGCAATAGTATTGGCAACTAAACTATTTTTGGTCGGTAATGTAAACGTTTAGGCTACTAAACTTCGATTAGTCAGCAAAGGTTACCTTTTGGCAATTAAAATATTAGTCACTGAAAGTTCTCATATAAAACTGAATTCAACTATTAGAGAGAACTTCTGAAACTTTAGCTTGACAGAACAAAAGAGAATCATTTGCAAATTGCAAGTAAGAAAGGACCACCTGGTTGACTCCAATATTCACCCATTTTAGTAGGCCCAATTCTCTTGCTCTCTGTAGGAGAATGTTCAGTGCTTCAGCCACCAGAATGAATAGAAATGGTGAGAGGGGATCACCTTGCCTAATACCTTTCTAAGGATTAAACTCCTTGGTTGGTGAACCATTGACAAGAATTGAGAGCTTTATAGTAGATACACACTCTTTAATCTAGGAGATCCATTTGGTTCCAAACCCAAAGTTAGATAGCATAGAAAATAGGAAATCCCAACTAATGGAATCAAAAGCTTTTTCAAAATCTAATTTGAGCAGGAGCCCTTTTTTATGGTGATCTGCTGTGATTCTGCTATTAGTCCTGGGTGTGGTTGATCAGTTTTGCTCAAGCTGTTTAGTTATGATCTCTGGTCTGGTGCTGCTGAGATGGCTGTGGGTGGGCTGGTGACTTGCCTTTGGGGGTGGGTGAGGGTAGCAATGTGGATCAAGGTGCTTCATGCTGCTGTTTTGTCCAACATGTTTTAAGTGCTTTACTGCACTAGGATGGCCCTGAGGTCTAATGTTCTGATAATGCTGATCTGCTGTTTTGTCCTGTTAATGATCTGCTGCTGCTAATGTTCTGATAATATTGTTGTTCTGTTTTATGGTTTTTAGTTAGAGCTATGCAATCCATAGTGACTTCTACTATGTTAAGGTGAGCATGGCTGCTCTGTTGTTTTGTGAGCATGGTTGCTGAGATGGTTGTGGCTGGGGGTGGGCTGAGCCACTGCTGGTATGATCTCTGCTGTATGTGGCTACTCCACCTCTACATCCGGCAGGGTTTATGGTGGTTTTGTCACGACCCCATTCCGCCCCTAGTAGAATGGTGCCATGATGGCCAGTAATCCGGGATTACCGAAGGCCAACTTTCAAAATTAACACACAATCAGAGTATTACATATAGGGCTAACATGTGCGGAAGCAATATATACAAGTTTAATTAGTCCATAAGAGCTGTGCATAAGTTAAATAGAATGACATACATTCGTACATAGCTTTAATACAACAAATGAAGTACAAAAATATATCTTGACCAAAAGGCTTCTCAGCCATCAAATACAAAATACAATGAAATACAACTAAGAAGCATAATCTTCAAGATGTAGCAAAAGTGCAAAGTCCAAAACAAGTGGCAAGTACATCTAGGCGTCACCGCCGTCCTGCTCGTTGCCTACATATATATAGAGAATGGTGAGCTTGGATACTTAGTGAATGGTACAGATAATAAAAGGGTTCACATGAATGATATCCGAAATCCT